GCTCAAAAATCCTGAGGGCGGGCTGCGTCCCATTGTCAGTGAATGATGGCGGAGCGGAGTGGCGTGTCATCATTCTCGAAAATTCCGAAGCCAGGGAGCTCGCTCTCCTGCTCCCACTCGCCTTCTTTTCCTTTCCGCCACTGCGGGGACGTTTTCTAATTTGCAGCTTCCCTCTCCCCGGCACACAGACACACAGACACGCACGCGCACGCGCACACACACACACAGACACACACCCACACCCACACACACACACACACACACACACAGAGAGACACACGCGCGAGCTGGTGGCTTGCCGACTGCGTCTGCCTGGCGCGGGGAGCCGGCCGGCAGCCCGGGGGAGGAGGATGCGCCCGGAGACGGATCCTGCGGCCGCGCTCCAAGGCTAGGCGCCGGGCTCTTGCGGCTTCCGTGCTGGTAATACTGGCTTGAGGGGTTCGGGCTCCCGCCGCTGCACTTTTAATCCGTGTCTCCCAGGATCTGCCTCGTGGGATCTCGGAGTAAAAAAAAAAAAAAAAAACAGCTGTAAAATTCAGGCTCGGGCTTCCTAAAATGCAAGTGCTGCATCTTTTGGTGTGTGTGCTACGGATCTCAAGGCATAGATGTGTGATGGGGATGTAAAGAATGCATGGACTTACTGGTGAGTTAGAATTTTTGATCTTTAGCTGACAAATCTGTATATATGTATTTTTTTTTTCTTTTGTTTTGTTTCGGTAGATCCTTCAGCTTCTTGTCTCTAACCGAGGAAGCGTTGATTGGGAACTACTCATTCAGAAAATTAAAAGGTACCACATGTTTTTGTTTGTATGCTTAAATGAGGGAAAATCAGGGAAGAATTGGGGGGTTTGTTGTTTTTTGTTTTTTTGTAATGTAAGTTAATCTCTCTAGGGCTGGTCTTTTATCCTGAAACCTTCATTGATCATTGTCTATAGCATGTACCATTTCCTATATAGATGCTACCATTATCTAAGGTTGTTTTGATTAGCAGATGCCTAAAGGATTATGTCTTTTACCTGTGTTGCAAGCTATTAACAAATATCAGCATGTCTGGCTTATTTGGGGATTTTATCGTTGTAACAGGTTTTTTGGTTTTTTTTTTTTAGGCTCGCAATTATCTTAATGAAAATTCATTAATCTGAATTTAAGATAAATATTAAGTGATGATTTTATCGGAAAGAATCTTTCTGAAGTGATTTTTTAAAAATGGTTAAATAAAATGCCTTGCCCTCCCCACGTAGAATGAGTGCTAGAGATGAAAACCCAGGAATGACTCAGTATTGTTGGTTTTGCGAATAAAATATCGTAACTTCTTTCTTGATGTTTTAGGCCTTGGCAATGGATGTATTTAAAGGCTGAGATTGTTAGTTATTTTTAAAAATTCATTTTATATATGTTTTATTTGGAATTGACAGCATAAGAAGGTAAACCTTCACCCTGTCATGAAAGCACTTGAATTCATTGATCCTGGGCCTCATGCTTTACAAGAAAAATATTAATTTTTAAATTCAGCATCAGGATGTATATTGATTTAAGAAGGCAATTATGGGTGTTACCTATTCTTTAATTCTTTAAGGCTACCTTTTGACTTTAAAACATATTAATGTCAATAAAATCTATATTTGTAATTTGCCTTTAAAAAATGGAAGACATTTTCTATCTTGTTGAGAAGATCGATAATACCTTTTAAACATTTCTTTGGCATCTATTTATAGTATTTCCCCTCAAGACTGCCAGTCCAAAATATTTTATGCAATAAGTTTAGTTTTTATTTTAATATACTTTAAAAATGTTAGTGTTCAACTGCTGACCTGATATATCATAAGTGTATGAGTGTACACCTGTGAGTGTGAATATTTGTAGCAGTTGAGGGAGACTAATGCATTGTCCTTGGCTAATTTTCTCTGCAATGTGTAATCATGAAAACCTTAATTTATTCATTCCACAAGCACTTCTTAAGAGCCTTGCTGCTGTGGGTAGCTATTGTGGGAGAGAGGGAAGGGGCAGATGACACTGCCCTCAGCCTTCCAGAGTGTAGGTAGCATCATATAAGATTTTTAACAAGAGGCTGAATCACTTAAATAAATCAGCTGTGCTCTACAAAAGGAAATTGCCATTATTTTGAATATTGAACAAACACTGATATATTAGTCTTAGTGATACATAAAATTATACTGCATTTCTTCCTCAGAAATTACTTAATGGAATTGTGTATGAAATCCCCAAACAGGACTTACTATTTATCTTGGATATTGCAAAGCCCTTGACACCATTCTCTCTTTTAAGATTTCACTCAGAATAAGTGAAACCATTTTATGATTGGTGGACAAAAATCAAACAACAAAAACCTATGTGGCATTTTCCCATCTAACTAAATTCAGGTATCATATATTTCACACGGAAATCTGTTTCCTAATCTTTAGACTCATCCAGCAACTCGTTAAATTAATTTTGAACTTTGGGGTATTTGTATGACCTGAAAAGGATGAATTTTTTGTTTATCTATTAAAAAATGTTTTCAATACATTGTCAATAGGAGCTAATAAGCTCTGTTGAAATTTTACAATTTGTCTGGATATTGGAGAAGGGGCATATGATCTCACGAGGCCTTTGGCATCTAAATTTCTTAGGACCTGTTAAAAATTCATCTAGAGGTGTGTGGACAGAGTGTGTGTAATAAAAAAGAGTTTATTAAAGTAGTCTGTTAAGTAGTCAAATCAGAACAGAATTGACTATTGTACTCTAAAAAAATTAAGGATCTGTCAAGGATCTATATCATGGTTTTTCTGATCAATACTGTATTGTCATGAGTTAATTTCTTTACTGATTTTTTTTTATTATTCATGTGTCTTTAGTACATAGCATAATGCCTGGGCCACAGTAGGAGTTCAATAAATACGTGTTTAATTGTTTAATGTATAAATGAGTTCATCAGCGTTTCCCCCCATTAGTCTTTGGTTCTTGCTTTTCATGAGATTATATACTATGAAATAGTCAGCTAGTAATTTTTATTTAGTTACCCCAAATCTTCATTATATGTCTCTAATAATAATAACTAGATCATTAATGCTGGGTAGAAAAGCAAATGAACCACGTGTGGAAATTTCTTTAGGCCATATGGAAAAGGATTTTTCTGGTTTTGGGTTAAGATGGAAAGAATTTTGAAATGTCCCCTTTCACTTTCATCAGCTAGGGAAAAATGCCAAACTGCAGCATGAGCTTTGCTTATGGATGCTTCCTAAATACTACTCCCAGGCTTGACATTGTTTATTATTCCTCATGTCTTTGGCCAAGATTTTGCTGCAGCAAAGGGGAGGAGGCCTTTTTTTTCCCTCTCTCTATCTATAAATGTAATATGAGAAATGATGTCATACTTGCCAGTCCATAATGAGTAACAAAGCATTTAAGGATAGATAGATAGATAGATAGATAGATGGATAATCTTTTCTGTGTATTTAAAGAATTTATAAAGAAACTTCTAGAATCTTAATGGCCTTAAAGAATGCTATTTTTTTGCTGTCATTTGTTTTTAATAATAAAAGTATAATTTTTTTGTTATTACCTATGTGCCAGAAAATATCCAATGTCCTTAACAGATGGTATCTCATTTAACTTTCCCTATAATCCAGGGAGGTAGGTATGGTCTCCCTTTTACAAATGAATGATTTGAGATTCCAGTTGGACAGTCAACCCAAGTCTGGCCCCAAAATTCTTTATATCAAACACTGAGTACCACATTTTTTTTCCTAGTAGATATTTTGGCACATAGTTATCATCTTAATGTTTTATTAATGCCATGATATATATATTACTACAATAGGGTTAAAAGAGTAAGGTTCTTGATTTTATATATGGAGATAGATGTATCTCTATAAACGGCAAAAGTGAATGTGTCTTCTACTTGCTTAACTTTGATATTCAAGCTTTGGTGTATTTCATATTTAACTTGAAGAACTTTATTTTTCCATGATGAATGTCAGAACAAATTAGAAAATTTTAAAATAAATAAATTTATAAAGCATTTTCTAAACCGTTTTAGTGAAGTTTTATTTTGAACTGCGTAATCAATATAAGGAAATAGCCAGAAAATTCAAATATTAAATAACAAACTGATGCCATATCTAGTAAAAGGTGTTTTTTTTTTTTTTTAAATTGAAATCATGGCAGACGAAGGTTCAAATGGTCAAATAAACAAGCAGGTAACAGGGTCATGAATAGAGTAAAAATGCCACATTCAACCTCAAGGATAACCAACTAACTCAGAATCACTGTAGACACTAAGAATGACACACATGTGTATTAAGATCTTTTACTTGCAAAGGAGTATATATACTTTTGCAGCTTAGTTGGAGGCAGCAGAATTAGACAAAGAAGTAGCATTGAGGCTTGTTGGTAGAGTAGAGAGACAAGAATAATTCATTCTTTCCTTCCTTCCTTCCTTCCTTCCTTCCTTCCTTCCTTCCTTCCTTCCTTCCTTCCTTCCTTCCTTCCTTCCTTTTTTGTCGAAGTCTGACTCTGTTGACCAGGCTGGAGGGTTGTGGCACGCTCACGGCCACTGCAGCCTCGACCTGCTGGGCTCTGGTGATCCTTCCACCTCAGCCTTCCAAGTAGCCAGAACTACAGGCATGTGCCATCACTCCTGGCTAATTTTTTGGATTTATTGTAGAAATGAGGTCTTGCCATGTTGCCCAGGTTGGTCTTGAACTGGTGGACTCAGGCAATCCTCTCACCTCTGCCTCCCAAAGTGCTGGGATTACAGGGATGAGCCAACACACCTGGGTCATGAATAATTTTAAGGTACTTCATCACAGGGCATGATTACTAATAACTGAGATGGGACTCAACAGACTATTTCATGAAGGATAAGTGTTTTGAGGTGGAATTTAGGGAGGAAGAAAAATATTCAAGGGAAAGATAAGGCATAGGGGAGCTCCAGGAAAAACAAACAACATTAGCAAAGGAATCAGAGGAAGTGAACATGACTGGGAAGCATAGACTGATCTCGATCATATTTTATAGAATAAAGCAGAAAAAGAGAAGTCTTTCAAGATAAGGTTGTACCATATGAAATGGCTATTACTTTTATTTTTTGAATTACAAAGTTAAAATTACATATTCAGTTCAACTTAATGCATTGAAAGAGTACTTTAAATGCCAAGCTGAGGAGATTATTTTCAGTACCCAATGGGAGGCTATTAGCTGTCTTGAACAGGAGACTGCTACGGCAACACGTTTCCAGATGATTTGCTTACAGCTCTGTGTAAGGTAAATTAGAATTGTGTGTGAAAGCATGTTGAAGAAAGCATCCCTTCAGAAACTGTCATGGAATAATCTAGGGGGCTCAGGATGGGCCCGCAGGGCTACTCCCAGCTTCCCTGGTTAACCTCTGGGGTCCTGTTTTCTGCTCATGTGATCCCAGGGGTACACACGAGCCCCTTGGGTGTCTGAACAGAAGGGCATGGGAAGGAGGGTCACACCCCTGCAGCCTTGCTCTGCTGGTGTAGCAGGCAGCTACCAATGCCCACCCCACCCAGCACTGCGGGCTCCTGAGTTAGCGGATTAAGCATTTTATAAATTGTATTTTAAATACATATTTTAAACTTGTCAAAAAAAAAAAGAATAATATAGGGGAAAAACCCAAAACCCTAAAAAAGGGTATTGATTGCGGGCATGAAAGAGAGGTCATGAAGATGAAAGTTGCTTCTGAGCTCCAACTTATACACAGAAGATAGCCACTGCTTGATTGGAAGGAGGAATGGAAAGGTGACAGACTCAAAGGTGCCTGTAA